TGATTTGGGGAAGTGTGATAATTTCAGGTCTATTTTAGGTTGGGGAAGCTTCCAAGGGAAACAAGACTCCAGGAGGGGGGGCACAAGGATGGGGAGTTTTACATCGAGGTTCTGCAAGTGCGTGTAGAGACGGATACACGGAGCATGGGGTAACTATGGTTTAAGTGCATACGATGTCCTGTGATTTGGTAAGAACTGCTTGGCGCGAAGGAGTATTTATAGCTGATTCTTTCGCACCATAGGAGTCGATTACAATATCTTGGCTCAGGGATGGTTCACCAGCTTCGGCCAAGAGACATTCAATGCGACTCGTGCGGTAGGCGCCTGTGTTGATACGTTTACCGGCATTGTGTATGGTAATCAATAACCAAAGGATCGATGGAGACGATGACCCATACGCAATACACCCATAATCTAAAATAGGACGGATGATATTCCTATATGGGCGCAAAAGACATACTCGGTCTGCGCCCCATGATCTACTAGTATGGGGGCGAAAGAGGTTCAATGGCGATACAGAGCAGCTCTTCAAGTTTTGAATGTGCTTTCGACAAGTTAAACTCTTGTCGAATGTCAGGCCATGGAAAGTGGCAGATTGGACGAAGGGAAGTCGATGACCCGCTCCAAAAAAAGAGGGAGGTGATATATTCTACAGAAGTGCATGCAACTGGATTTTCAGGGGGAGAAATTTGATCCAGTTTTATCGCTCCAATCTTGCAATCTGTTGAGAACAAGCTGTAACTCAACATGCATGCTCTTCGAGGAGCAGAATATGGCAAAGTAATGAACGAAGAGCGATGCTTTCACAGGCTCTCGAATTACTGATGCGATAGTATTGATAGCAATGGCAGAGTGACACTCAGAATTGATCCCTGGAGAACACCCTTTTCTAACTGGTGTCATGAGGATAACTTGTCAACAAGGCGGACGCGGAAAGATTTTGACGAAAGAAAATCTACTAGAACAGAATGGAGCTGTCCTACAGGGCCCCAAGAATGCAGTACCTCAAGGTACGCTTTCTCCATGTCGAAAATATTTCTACTAAGTGTTGTAGCACGAAAGATGTGGGATCTGTGTGGCAAGGGAGACTAAGAGGTCCATGGTTGATCTGTGCTGTCTGAAACGAGAGAGGGAGAGAGAGAGGGAGGGAGGGAGAGAAGGGGAAGAGAGAGGAAGAGTGAGGGGGGAGAGAGGGAGGGAGAGAGAGGAAGGGAGAGAGGGAGGGAGATAATGATAATTATCTTTTTTGTCGCTAAAATTAAAAATTATCAATTACTATTAATTATTATTATTAATCTGTTTTATAAACCAAGAATCTCTTTCTTCGCGACTTGTTGGGAATCTTTGACACTATTATGGCAGATACTGGTGACACAGAAGTATGTGTGGCACGCCAGGAGCCATACAATGCCAAGGGAGAAAAATTCTTCGACTGCAACAGCTGTCAACGTCACTTCCACGTTGTCTGTACGGAGCTGACTGCATCACAAATTCAAAGCTTGGAATTAAAAAAGCGAACACTTCAATTCCTATGCATCGATTGTCAGGGGGGTTTGATGTGCCTACCTAAGTTGGTTGCCCACATCGTGAAATTGACTGTCAAGGTCAACAGACTTGCGAGTAGCATAAAGAGTGAGGTGACGAGTAATGTAAATATAGCAGATGTGGTGTCTGATAGACTTAGTCGAAAGAACAATTTGTTGATATATAAAGTAGAGCATGTTGCTGCTAGCGAGATTTTTTGGAAAAAAGTAAGACTTTGATCGGGTTGAGAATGTGTTGAAGGATGTTTGTACTTTCGAGAGGGGTGAAGTTCGCAACGTTATTAGATTGAGAAAGTTTGCTTCTGGCAAAAATAGACCAGTTAAGGTGATTTGTCAATCTTGACTCGATGTTGATGCTGGGAACCAAAAATAAATTCTGACTTAACGTTAATGCCAAGAAATTAGTTGAAAAAGTTGACAGATCAGTTAGATGATTTAAATAAAAACAGTCAAATGAAAACAATCAAATACATTAATGGTCAGCTGACTTTACAGCATCGAACAAACATAAATCAAAAAACATATAACTCAGGACAAGTTAAGGATTTATTATCAGAATGTTAGAGGGCTTCACATTAAAATTAAGGACATTGAAAAATTTGGTTATATATTAGAGAACTGTGATATATTTGTATTTACTGAAACTTTGCTAGTCCCAGAGATTTTGAGCTCTGAATTTTGCTTAAAAAAGTAAAGTGATATCTGGAAATGACCCTAATAATAATAATATTTATAGTAGTGGAGGTGGTGTCCTTATTGGTATTAGAAATGTCTATCATGGGTGAAAATTGAATGCTCAATGGATGCTGAACATTTTCGGAGACTATAATGTTCCTCATGTTAACTGGTCCAGGGGCAAGCTGTTGAGCTTTCCTACATTTGATTCAGATACCGTGACACGCAAAAAATCTTGTGCAACTGCATTTGCTGAAACTGTCAGTTTCATAAATTTGCACCAAAAAAATGATATTGAAAATAATTATGACGGCATGTTGGATCTCATTTTTACTGATTTAGAGTGTTTCTCTGTTTCTAGTCTTTAATCCTTCGATGGTGATGTTAACACTTTAGTTACTTTATTTTATTACAACTTGTATACTTGTATAGATCTTTATGTGCCTAAGAAAATAATTGTAAACTCTACATTTCCTGCATGGTATAGTAGTGAACAGAAGAACACAATAATTGACAAAAAATTGACTCATGTTACTTATAAATGATTACAAAATCTCGCATACAGAATAGGAGAGTTTAAACTCAGATCATTTTGTAAAAGCTTGGCGAGGAGAGATTTTGCGAATAACAATGCGAATCTGATGAGATATATTATTACTGACCAAAACAATTTTCGGAAAATCAAAAAAGGAGAGTAGGGACCTTCCAAATACTATGCCCTTTATCTCATCAGCTTTTAATAATACCAAATCTATCGTGGATGGGTTTGTGAGATATTTTTCATCTTTCTACAAGAATTCAAATGTCACTATTGATGATGGACCAGTTGAAATATCTGAGTCTCCTCTGGCGCTGTATGGTTTGGAATTTGGTGTAGCTGACATATTGTGCAGAATTAAAGAACTGTAAATTCATCTTCGCACAAATTCTTGGATTGTTATTTGGAAAGTTTTTGACCGAGGGCACTTTTCCGAGCGAATGGAAGTCTTCATTCCTAATACCCATCTTTAAGTCTGGTGACAGAAATGACATCATGAATTACAGACCGTTTTCCATTCTGAGTGTTATCCCAAAAGTTTTTGAATCCTTGATTATGGATAAAATCAGAGTTGTTATTTATCCACATCTTTCAGATAGACAATTTGGTTTTATGCGTGGGGGAAATTCAGAAGCTAATTTGTCCTATTACTCTTGTTATATACTTGAAGCTAAGGAACATAAACTTCAAGTTGTGTGTGTGTGTGCGTGTGCGTGTGCGTGTGTGTGTGTTTATACACACACACACACACACACACAGATTTTAGAAAGGCATTCGACTTGGCAAATCACGAGATTTTGCTAGTTCAACTGGAGCGGTTGGGGGTCAGTGGACCGTTACTAGAGTGGTTTTACAGTTACCTGGCTCATTGAGTTCAGATTGTTTTACATAAAGAGTATTGTTTCTGATTCTATACAGGCATCTTCAGGTATCCCTCAGGAGTCACACTTAGGTCCTCTCTTATTTAACATCTTTATTAACGCCATATGCGACAGTATATTGGAAATGAGAGTATCTGCTTATTGCAGATGAGCTTAAATTTTGTTTATAAATCCAATCTGATGAAGACAGAGTCCTTTTTCAAAACGCCCTAAATGCCTTATATGAATGGTGCACAAATAACGATCTTTTTCTCAATATCGCGGAATGTAAAACTATAACTTTTTCAAGATCTACATCTAATGATGATACCTCTGATTATATGATGAATCTCACTCCACTAGAGAGTGATTTTTGATTCCAAGACGACTTTCACGGATCGTTTTCATCGCACAATAGTCAAATCAAACCAAGTCTTCGGATTCATTAAAAGATTCTGAAACGAATTACACTAAGTAGTGGTCTTGAGATTACTCTATCTTATGCTGGTCAAGCCAATATTGATATACTCTTCTGTGGTTTCGTCTCCATTTTTTTTTAATATAAATCAGAAATTGAAACAGTCCAACACAAATTTTTTAGCATGTCAGCATATGGTTTGGGATTGGAAGATCCATATATAAAACATGAATATATTGACTTGGCTCTGCAATTGCACATTCCTTCACTAACTGCTCAGAGAGACCTGAAAGACCTGTTGTTTTTGAGAAAACTGATATTGGCTGAGGTCGATTGAAAAAATCTTGCAAAACCAGATAATGTACAAAACAACTTCAATTCTAGAACCAAAGATATTTTTGATAATCGGTTTTACTGTTAATCTTACATAGCAAATAATGTTATAAATCGATGATGCAAATCAGTCAACAGTTTGAATATTGATGTATGAGAAACAGATAAATCTGCTTTTTTTTTATCATTAATGAGTAACAAAATGTTGAAATTTGAATTAGTAGGTGTGGTACAACTACTATTATACCAGATATATTTTCATATGTTAGTATTGTATGTCTTTCCTTACAAATGTTTCAATTTTTATAAATATGTTGCTACATTAAAATTTTTATTGTATTCTTTTTGTAAATAATAGACTTACTTGTCCGTATAAATATCATAATAAATAAATAAATTATTTTTGATCTTTATATGGTATTTGTTTTGAGTAAGTAGCTACTAGAATCTTTACTATCTTAAATAGAGGACTTATAAATGGCCAATCAACATTATGAAATCTTTTTCTAGAGGTGAAAGTTCAAAACATTATTATTAAACAATAAAACTTAACAAAAATTAATAATGAAAAATCATATAAATTGATTTTTAACAACTCCCCCAAACCCTTTCAATCACAAATGTTCTCTTACCATTTATCTCAATGAGATTTGCATTTTTTTGTTGAATGACTGCATAGAACTCCCTTAGATTGGATAATTTGCCAATTACCCAATAGTCACTCAGTGTCTTCAGTATAGTTTCTCCAGTAGCAGGCATTCTATAAAAAACATATTTGTAATATATTAATCAAAGGTAATTTCAACTTCAGCAAGGAAGCGTAACTGCATAATCATTCTACGAAAGTGTACTTTTTTATACTGTTACAGACAGGATATTTATTGCAATGTACTAACTACTGAATGATTAGTGTAAAATATTTAATTTTAAAACTTAGTCGAAACAAGGAAATAAGAGAAAGGCACAACCTCACTTCAATCATATTCATTTGCATACAGTGCTTTCATTACTTGCACTCCCTTTAAATGGTGTGACATAGTTAACATTTTTCAAATTGAAAATTTGCTCATTGAAGAACAACAAGGCTTCAGATCAAGAAGATCCACTGTAACAAATATACTTATTTTTTAACATTTCATTATTGATAAATTGGAAGCAAATTCTCAGGTCGATGTGGTTTACACTGATTTTACTAAAGCATTTGATAAAATAAATAATCGTATTTTATTTCATAAACTTAAAAATATAGGCATACATGGAACCTTCTTGAAATGGATTGAATGTTTTTTAGTTGGGCAAATTCAAAACGTTAAATATAAATCTTTTTTATCTAAAAATATTTCAGTTACTTCAGGAGTACCTCAAGGATCCCATCTAGGCCCGTTATTATTCTTTTTGCTATATGCGGATGATCTGAAGTTATTTATCGAAATTCATTCAATTGAGGACTGTAGAATTCTACAAATGTATCTTGATATACTGTATTCTTGGTGTAATTTGAATCAATTACCATTAAATATAATGAAATGTAAATGCATGAGTTACTCCAGATTGAAAAATCCAGTTTTGTTTTCATATCATACAAATGGCCGATCCGGTGACTGAGATTGCTAAGGCAGTAGTGCCGTAGCGATCTCGT